TTTGGGGTGGACTGGCCAGGCAGGGTCATAGAAGTGTGATGTAAAAACCCACAAACTCAGCTCACAGGACCCAGAATCCCAAAATTGTTAGGGGTGGAAGGGACCTCTGGAGATCACCCTGTGCAACCCCCAACCCACCTGGAGCAGGTGACACAGGGACATGTCCACAGGGGTTTGGGATGTCTCCAGAGAGGGAGACTCCACACCCTCCCTGGGCAGTTGTTCCAGGCTCTGCCACCTCCATGGAGAGAAGTTCTTCCTCCTGTCGAGGTGGAGCTTGTTGTGCTTCACTTTGTCCACCTGTAAGTCAAAGCTTCCGGGTGTTTTATCACCACAGAGGGGCTAAATGGGCCTTGTTTTTCCACTGGCTGGGTTGTGACATCATATGGATTGGCAGGGATCCATCCCCAGGGATATCAGTATCCAGTATCCTGGGAAGGATTGAGGTTGGGTGGTGGTTTCTCCAATAAACCACCTTCAGAGCCTGTTTTACTCTCAGTTACTACAGCCTGAGTGAGTCCCTCCTTCAGGAGCAGGGACCAGCTGGAGATTTCTTTTTACATTTCAGAAGGATTATAATTCCCTCCCAACCCCCTCAAATTCCCTGTTGGTGTTTGAGGGGCTGAAAACTGTCATCCTCATAAAATCACAGTGGCCTGTTCCTGTAGTTTTTAGGGGGGAAATCCTGCCCTTCCCACTTCCCCCCAGTGCCCCTGGTGAGGTCTGTGCTGTGCCCACACCACCTGCTTTACCCAGAACACGGGTGGCACCTCCGTGGGCATTTCCCCCCCTCCCCTGCCCCTTGTGCAGGTTCCTGCCCCCTGAAATCCAACACATTTTTCCCTGATTAGGCTTTTCTTCCCGCCTTGCACTTCCTGAGCTTTTATGGGCATGGGAGCAGGGCCCTGGGAGGCTGCACAGGGAGCTGGGAAGTGTAAAAAACCCTCGGGAAGGTTTCCAGGCTGGTTACGCAGCTGGGAGCTGGAGGGAGGAACTTTTTAACTAAACAAACTGAAAGCACCTTGGCTGATTCCCTGTGGCTCTGAGAGGTGCTGGGGTGGCTCTTTCCAGCAGCTTGCCTGGAATTTTCAGCCTGCCCTGCTCTCCCTTTCCTAGGAATGGCACCAGGCTGGGAGGGCTGGGAGGGTTTACCTGGAGAAGAAAAGGATCCAGGGAGACCTGAGAGCCCCTTGCAGGGCCTAAAGGGGCTCCAGGAGAGCTGGAGAGGGACTGGGGACAAGGGATGGAGGGACAGGACACAGGGAATGGCTTCCCACTGCCAGAGGGCAGGGAGAGATGGGATATTGGGAAGGGATTGTTGGCTGTGAGGGTGTTGAGGGGCTGGGCTGGAATTCCCAGAGGAGCTGTGGCTGCCCCTGGATCCCTGGGAGTGTCCAGGGCCAGGTTGGATCATCCTGGTCCAGTGGAAGGTGTCCCTGCCCATGGCAGGGGTTGGGAACTGGATGAGTTTTAAGGTCCCTTCCAAGCCATTCCATGATTCCATGGCTGTCTCTAGGAATAACCAGGCTGGATTTTAACCTATATCTCATCACCTGATAAGGCTTTCCTTGCCTGCCATCCTGAGCAGCTCCTTTTCCATTGATGTGAGTGGTTGTTTTCCTTGGGTCCCCACCAGGAACGCTCAGGTTGATTTTTGGCAGAGCCAAACGTGAAAGGAAAAAGAAACAAGCCACCACTTTTGTGAGGTGCTTGGGCTCCCCGGTTTGGTGCTGCTGGGATCAGCTCAGGGGTGGTGTCACAGGGATTTGGGAGCCTCCAGCTTGGCCTGTGCTCCAGAGCTGGGCTTAAAAATAGCCTGGGCTGGGGCTGCTGGGTGCCAAGCGGCTGCTGCTGCACTGGGCTGGGGATCAGCAGAGGTTTGAACAAGCCCAAAGCTCCTGCAGGTGGGAGCTGCAGGTTCTGCTCCTGCCAGACCTTAGTGGGGCTGTTGATAGGAGACGTGGGCTGTTCCTGCCCCTGAATTTTCCCCTCCTCTCCTCTTCCTGCCTGCTTTTTCCCCCCACTTCCTGACTTGTGGAAACCCAGCTGTCCCTGCTGGTTTTTCCATCCTCCCCAGGCCCAGCATCTGCTCTTAATCCTCCCTAATTAATCCCTTCCATTTTAATCCACGAGCTGCTGGCAGCACTCAGGGCCTTGTTGTGTCTCCTCGGCACAGTGACCTAATTCACACCCCCAGCCGGGAGCAGGGACCTTGCTGGGGCTTTGGGGTGGATCCACGGGGTCCCTGGGGCTCCATGGCTGCTGATCCTGCATCTTCACCCTCTCCCTGGCAACCAGGAGCCTTCAGGGTGGCAAAAAGTCCTTTCCTTCTCCCCGAGGACGAAGGGTTTGGAGCAGCTGGGGTTGTTTGCTGCACACACACACACACACACAGGGGGGTCTCTCAGAGTGAAGGGTCTCTGTCCCTGCTGAGTTTTTTCCCTCTTGGCCCTGCTTGGGTTGTGCTGCTCCCTGGGGCACAGTCCAGTCCTCTCATTCCTTTATTCCTTGTGCCTGGGAACGAGGCTGCTCTCCCAAAGGAGCTGGAGTATCCTTTGGGTGCTGGAGCTGTGTGGCAAAGAGCCAGGGAGGAGGGCAGGGATTTGGGGTTAATCCCAGAGCTTTGTGGATGCCCAGAGCCAGCACAGCTCCACTTGCAGGAGACAGGGGCCCAGCCAAGCCCAGCCTGAGCTCAGCCTGAGCACCCCATCACTCCTGGGGACTTGGCCACGGGGTAGCTCAGGGTGTCCCAAGCCTGAGCCAGAGGGAGCTGCCTTGTGTTTATGGGCTTTCCCCCCTGCTTTTAGTGCCTGCACAACTCTCTCTGCATCTTCACCTTTGTGTTCTGCAGAGCTCCATGGAAGGACCTCATTGTGGCCTTCCAGGACTTAAAGGAGGCTTGAGAAAAAGAGGGAGAGGGATTTTTAACATGGGCAGGCAGTCATGGGATAAGGGGGAACAGGAGGGATTTGGGCTGGATATTGCATAGGAATTCCTCCCTGTGAGGGTGGGGAGAGGCTGGGATGGAATTCCCAGAGAAGCTATGGCTGCCCCATCCCTGGAAGTGTCCAAGGCCAGTTTGGAGCAACCTGGGCTAGGGGAAGATGTCCCACAGCAGGGGTGGGAGATGGATGGGCTTTAAGATCCCTCCCAACCCAAACCAGTGTGGGATTCTATAAGGGGGAAAACAGTTATCCCATCTGTAGAGGAGCCACAGTGTACCCTGTTGCCATGCTGGGAGTGGGCTGATGTTGTGATTTCCCTCCCCAAAACCAGCACAGGAACTGGTTTTGGGGAGGGAAAGGCCAGGACAGAAGGACAGTGAGCCCTGAGCCAGCCTAGGGACTGAAATCCCGGGATGCTCCGGCAGGTGCCCGAGCACCTCCTGCACCACTGCTGTGCCCTTGGTGCTTCGGGCCAGCTTGTTAATGGTTCTGTTCAAAACAAGTGTATTTGTCCCCGAGGGTCATCTGCAGAGCCCAGGTGGAATCCCAGCCTGTGTGAGGGGCTCCCGTGGGACTGAACGAGGGCCGGTGGAGGTTTTCCTGCAGGAACACTGTCCTGATGGGCAGCCCAGGGATCTGCACCCCCAAAGTGCCACCGACTCTCTTTGTGTCCGTCCCTTCCTGCCACGATCCCAAAGTGCAGTTTCTGCCCCGTTTCTCCAGGCTCTTCATTGAGAAGCTGCCGCAGCACCGCGACTACAAAACCGCCGTCATTCCTGAGAAGAGGGAGACGGTCAAAGTGAGTGGGGACATCGCCAGGTCCTGAAGGGAAACGTCCTGGCAGTCACTGGCATGGGGTGTTCAGGGCTCTGGGATGAGGGATCCACACAAACACTGGGAAGCCGTGGCATGGCCGGGCAGTCCTGACCCCTGGGAGTTCAGTTTTGGGCTCCTGTCCAAGATGGACACTGAGGGGCTGGAGTGTGGCAAGGGAAGGGGCTGGAGCAGCAGAAGCAGCTGAGGGAGCTGGGGGAGCTCAGCCTGGAGAAAAGGAGGCTCAGGGGGGACCTTCTGGCTCTCTGCAACTCCCTGACAGGAGGGGGGAGATGAAGGGGGTCGGGCTCTGCTCCCAGGGAACAGGGACAGGAGGAGAGGGAACGGCCACAGAGTATTTAGGTTGGATATTGGGAAAATTCCTTCCCCAAAAGTGTTGTCCAGCCCTGGCACAGCCTGCCCAGGGCAGCAGTTGAATCAGCATCCCTGGAAGTGTGTAAAACACTTGGATGTGGCCCCTGGGGACGTGGGTTAGTGATGGACAAGGCAAATCTGGGGGAAAGGTTGGACTTGGTGATCGTGGAGGTATTTTCCTCCTAAACAATTCCATGATTCTCTGAGTTATGGTTTGTGATTTTGGGGGCGGGTTTGGGCTCCCTGCAGCTGCTCAGGGCCGGTTTTGTTGCCACTCTGATTTCTCCCTGTGTTCCTCCCCCAGAAGCTGAAGGAAGTAGCCTTTCCCAGAGCGGAAGAGCTCAAGGAGGAGCTGCTAAAGAGGTACGCCCAGGACTATGCTAAGTACAAGGAGCAGGAGGTGAGTGAGAGCAGACTGGAGGCCTGTCTGCTCCAGGGTCTCCCCCAGGAGACCCTCAGCCCCCAAGGGTTTGGGAGAGGGCAGCTCTCCAGGGCTCCCTGGGTGCTCGGGAATGGCCGGTGTGTGTGTGTGGGGATCCCCCCCTGCAGCACAGGGCTGCCACTGCAGGTGGATCTGAGCCTCTCTTCCTTGTGCAGCTGGAAGAGCTGGGGCTGTTTGGTTGGTTGATTCTCTTTTATCCCAGCACAAAATCCAGGTTTTGTTGGATGGGGGGTTGTGTGGGCAGAGCAGAAACCTCCGGGATGGGTTTTGCTGCAGACGAGCGGGATTTGGGGGAACGGGATAGTGGGAAAACAACCCTCTGGAACAGTGTTTCTGTGGAAGAGGGAGGGGTAAGGCAGAGGTTTTACTGCCCTGGTCTCTCCTGATGGAAGTGTGGATCTCTGCAAGCTGAAGTTTCCTGCAGGGAATGCTCTTTGCAGACCCCTCTGAAGCAGCCTGGGATTGCTGGGGGTCTGCGGTGCAGAGGCCCCCGTGTTCCCATCTCTGCTCACGTCCCTTGGGGTATTTCTCCTTAGGGAAGGAAGAGGAAGAGTAATTTGCACCCGCTTTGGCTTTGCAGGAGCAGCTGGAGCAGGAGAAGAGCCGGGTGGCCCTGATGAAGCAGCAGCAGGCAGAGCAGGAGCAGTTCCACGCCTTCGAGGAGATGATCCGGCGGCAGGAGCTGGAGAAGGAACGCCTGAGGATAGTGCAGGAGTTTGGGAAGCCAGAGCCGGAGTCTCTGGATGGACCCCTCATCCCTGGAGTGGAAAAGCCACCCACTGATTTAACCCCAAAGGTTCCAGTGTCTTCAGTTGACCCAGCAAGTCCCTCAGCGGGGACTGTCCCACCCAGACCTCCCGTTGTGGACAGATCTTTGAAGCCCAGTGCTCTGGGGAGCACAGAAACCAGTTAGTACCTCTGGGAGCATCCCTATCCCTTGCTGGGACTGAGCCAAACGTGGCCAATTTGTCTGGGAGGCTCTTGGAATTATCTGCTCGTGGCTCCATCCCTTCTGGGGGGTTGCTCTTCCAAGTCACTGGATGTTGTCCCTGTTGCTCAGTCGAGGTTTGGAGGGCCTGGGGGAACTGTCTCCTCTTGGGAATGCACCCTCCATGCTTTTCCAGCCCAGTCTTCCTGCTGTCCCAGACTCTGCAGCCTATCTGCCTTTCCTTGATCCAAGCACTTCTTGGACATTTGGGTTTAATTCCTGGCTGGGCTGACTGAATCCTCCTCCTGACCAAACCCTGCCAAACACGGCTCCAAAATACTCATCCAGACACATCCAGTGACTGGTTCTTGCCCAGTGACACATCCTACCTTAAATAACCTTCTGTGAGTGCGTGTGGTTTCATTTTTACTGACAAACAAAGGATTCCTTTCTGACACCCTGCTGGAGGATTCTTCCCCTCTCTGTTCTGAAGGAGGGGCTGCCTGTCCTTTATCAGTGTCCCAGCAACACATTTGTCTCTTGGTGCCACTGCAGGGGGCAGAGCCAGAGCAGTCCAGCCTTCCAGGTGGATTTTTTGCAGCCTCATCCCTCGGGGGGCTGCCCTGAGGGACCATATCCACCCCCCTGGCTGGTGTCTGAGCGCTCTCCCGTTCCCCGCAGGTGCAGCAGTGGATGTCCTTCGCCAGGTCATTGTCCCCAGGGAGCTGTGCCACAAATTCCTCCAGCTGGCCGATGCCAACACGGTGCGGGGTGTGGAGACCTGTGGGATCCTCTGTGGGAAGCTGGTAAGGGGGACAAATCCGTCAGGAGGCCTCGGGAGCGGCGCAGGGGGTCATTTGTCACGGCACCAGCGCTTTGGAAGTGGCTGCAGGAGCCTGGTCTTTGTCCTGGAATTCTCTAGAGCAGCTTCAGGCTTCCCTGGGAGCGTTAGGGATGATCTGCCTCTCCCTTTCCAGGTTTTTAGGTCAGGGTTTCCCTCACCCTGGCACTCAGTGCCAACCAGAGTGCCCACTCAGCTTCCTCTCTGCTGGTGATGACTCTGTGTGCATGCCACAAGCACTGGGGGCAGTCCTTGGGACAGGAGCTCCAGGGGCTTGTCCTTTGGGTGCCAGCAGGACTGGGGTGTCCCAGCTGGTGGTTTCAACAGGACACTTTTCTCCCCCCAGGACTTTGCGTGTGCAGGTTTTGTTGGCAGCTCCAGCCCTGAGTCACTTTGCTTTGAAATGGAGCTGTTTGATGTAGCAACTTCCTGCCATCCAGCTGCTTCCAGACACTGGGGATTGTTTAGGGATGAGGCATCATCTTGAGTTTGCTTCAGTGGGTGTTCTCTGAGCTGTTGTGGGTGCTCTGCACAGCAGGGAAAATGAAATAGGAAGAAGACCCTGCAGCTCTTTGTCAGTGACTGGAGTGGTGCACGGGCTTGTTGAGGAGAAGTTCCCAAAACTCAGGGAATTTGCTCCCTGTTCCCTGTTGCCTGGGGTTGTCTGGGGGTGCCCTCTGATCCCCCTGTGCTGCCCTTGCCCTGCAGATGAGGAACGAGTTCACCATCACCCACGTGATCGTGCCCAAGCAGCACGGGGGCCCCGACTACTGCAACACCGAGAGTGAGGAGGAGCTGTTCCTGATCCAGGACCAGCACGGCCTCGTCACCCTGGGCTGGATCCACGTGAGTGCCCCCTGCCCCTGCCTGCAGCCTGCAGGTTTCTCACCTCTGGTTGAGTTTCTCCCCACCCCCAGCTGGATTTCTCCCTCTGATTTGGTTTCTCTCCCTGGTGGGGTTTCTCCCTCTGGCACAGTCTCATTCACTTCTCTGCTGGAGAAATCCTGGCCTGTTTTCACATTTGAGTCTCTTCCCAAAGCATCAGGCCCTTTGGAAAGGAGAGAAGGCAGGGTTAGATGGCCTTAGAGCCCTTTCCAGGGCCTAAAGAGGCTCCAAGAGCTGGAGAGGGCCTTAGAACAAGGGATGGAGGGACAGGACACAGGGACTGGTTTCCCACTGCCAGAGGGCAGGGATAGATGGGATATTGGGAAGGGAATCTTCCTTGTGAGGGTGGGCAGGCCCTGGCACAGGTTGCCCAGAGAAGCTGTAGCTGACCCTGGATCCCTGGAAGTGTCCAAGGCCAGGTTGGAGCTCCCTGATCTAGTGGAAGGTGTCCCTGCCCATGGCAGGGGATGGAACTGGGTGATCTTTAAGATCCCTTCCAACCCAAACCACTCTGGATCCGTGCAAGTGGGATCCTGGACACGCCACTCAAGTTTCCTCCAGCTAAAATCCAACTGCAGAGGCCCCACCAGGGCATCCCAAGCCCTCCTGCTGCAGGGACACCTGTGCCATGCTGTGTCCCTGGAGTGGTGCTGCTGTTTGAGGCAGCTGTGCCAGCTGCAGATTCCTGCCTGGCTGCAGCAGTTCCCTGCTGTCCCCACGGAGCCCTCAGCAGTCGGATCCGTGCCAAGGAAAATGTTTGGAGCTGCTGAGTAATCTCTCGAAAGCAGCTGCTGCCTCCCAGCCTGGGG